CATGTGGTGAAATGCGAAGATAACTTTCTTGAGAGTAATTCATATCAAACAGTGAAGTAGTGCATGAGCGTATTATTTCGCAGTTTTGGCAAATGCAGCTGTCGTGTGCATCACACCGTGGCACTCAACGAAGTGCAGGAGTTCATGAAACATCAGTTTCGAGGGTGTTTGTGAAAACTTGCCTTTCTCCCATTCTTCCTCTGGGTTGACCAGTTCAGGGTTTCTCAGTGAAATTGTGGGTCAACTCCTTCAGTTAGTGCCCCAAACTTGCCAAATACGAGAGCATTTCTTGATCGTTCAATTATACTCAGGTGAAGCTCAAGAAGAGAGTATGGTTGACTATCTCCATCTGATGCTATGTTGACCAACAACGGAAGTCTCCAGGCGTTTCCAGAGATGTTGGATGATCACAACACGGTGGTTGCGACGTTTGGATCAAGATACCGCATCATGATTCTAATTTGAGGTATGCCTAAAGGACAGCACTTTTCGCAAAATCCTGGCCTCGATTACCCCTATTGTACTAGCTATCTGTTCCATGAACAGAATAGAAAGGCGGCTGATAGCACGTGCGCCCATTAAGTACTGTCAGTACATCAATGACTGCTGCATAGTTTCTTCAACGCAGCTCAGAACCCCAGGCTGGCGATTAGTATATATGAAGTCCACGAGAGAAGCTCCAGATAGCTGACTTTACTCGAACATACGTACAAAGGTCCAGGACGAGTCGAATAGCCTAGAGTGGTACCGAGGAGACACTTCGAAAAAACCTTACTCCATGTAAAATCAGCACATCCCCTCAGAGGTGTGGAAAGCGCAGTCGGCGCTGTTTATCGACGGGGGGGCATTTTGTATTATAATTGCTTCCCTGGTTCCGGTTTACAAATCTCACTCTGGTAAAACTTGTGAACGCTTGTGAAGCTGGAGCAAGATCGTCTAGCCACCATCCTAAAACGTGTCAACTCGAGAAAAGGCTACCTAGATGGGTCGGCACATCTATGGAAAGCAGGATGCCCCCCCCTGCCCTCGATAAACTGCACCGCACAGTAAAACGTACAAAACAGCCACTGGAGTTCGTAGAGGAGGCGAGGAGAGAGAAAAATCGCGATGGCGAGCTTCTGAGTTTGCCAGGATGAGCGATTATGAGGGGCAACGTGGCAGATGGGTTCGCAAGGGTTCCATCCGAGGAATCTTGAGGGAGTGATAAATCTACAACCACTTTTTACATCGTCCAGGATCAGTGCAGCAATGCGACCAGTTGACGACGTCAACTTGACTAACAGACCAAGGCAACACAATTCCGTAGGTTGATTCCAGAGCAAACTGCATGAGCAAGTGTTCAAAGGTAAGTGTTCAAAGGTGGCTTCACTAGTTCCTATGAAGGAGATGGAAATCGCGTACAACGAGAAATAGTACCAACTTCAGGGTTTGACCTGCAACAATCTATGGTGATTAGGCGGGCAAAGTGTTAGGCATACGTTTCAGGAATATTCAGAGAGCAGAAGACCGTGTACATGGTCCAGTTGCGGCACCCCACATAGTTCGAACTGTGAAATCCGTCTCTGAAGAGGACGTCGGTGCTAAGAAGACTAAGGAGCGTTATACATCCGAGTGCGGTTGAATGAGCGGAATGGGTGCACGACCGTAAGAAGGACATTTCGCTGGAATGTTTCTCTACTACGGGGTTCTCGGGAGGTACCGCAAATGGTATAAAACGGTGAGGCACACGACGAATGAACTTCAAGCTAATTCTAGTTTTCGGAAAGGACGACTTGCTCTGAACTTGACCTTATAAACGCGGTTCTATAATCATTATTCTGTGTGGCAAAGGAATAAGAAGGCTCGTTATGTAGAAAAATGCCCAATGGTTCCAGGAAGACTGGTTACTAGACTTCCTAAAATATTGATGGGAAATGATAATGGTGTCGTAATGGTGAAATTTTAGAACCGTATTAACCATTTCTATGCTCTTCCAAGAGGTACACATTTTGCAGCAATACAATGACGACGAGGGAAGAGGCATATTGCACTTTCACTGCTCCATGACTTCCGGTTTACATGTCTCCCTCTGGTGAGCCTGTGAACCTTTGTGATGCTGGAGCAAGCTCGCTGAGTCAACATGGTTGGGAGGTGCAAAAGAATCGTAAATTGCCACTTCGTCGCGCGCGGCAATGGGCGCGACGTTTCCTTAATTTGCACTGCCCTTTCGATTGGAGCATCGGATTTCATGTAGACAAGGACATGGTAGACACTTATGTCTATTTTTGGTCATACATTGTCTATTCTCGACCAATACCACCTAAAATCGTCATTAGCGGGCGACGTCGCACGCGACGCCCACTGGCGCGGCGAATTGCGATTCTACTGCCACATACCCAACCAGGGTTAGACCTTTATGCTCACAAAATGGCTCTCTAGATGGGTCGGTTCAAAACGTCCCCCCCCCTTTCCGCCTCACCCCTTCGCCAAACTGCCCCCATTTCACAAAGGAGCTTCTCTGGCTTAGTCACTAACTAAGGACACCAAAAGGACAGGGCCAAAAATGTCTTAGTCGACTTCACACTACAGCCTGGTCACTTGAAAGAACAGTCAAAAAAGACGAAACTTTTCATTTTTGACGCAAAATTATAACTCAGAAAAGAAAGCCGTTTTTCATGGGATAACACAATGGATGCGGCGCGCATTCTACTTCAATTCAGAATCGTAGTGGCTCAGTGAATGCGTACGGCCTACACAATGGCTTGCGGGGGCAAGCCTATGTACTAGTCAGTAAGTTTTTTTTCTCCAAGACGAATATGGTACCGTTTATCGTTCCCGGAAGGGGGGGGGGTTACAGAGCAAGGTTGGCCTGTGAGGAGCCCACCCGGGATTTAATCCCCGGATCGTGGTAAGCGTGCCACTTGCCACTACACCACCTCCGCCTCCACTCAATATATTACTTGCATCTAACCTTTATAAGTAGAAACCGTGGGCCTTTCGATGGCTCGGTTGAAACGCTAAGCTACTTTGAAAAGTTCTATATATTAATTTCAGAAAGCGTCTATTATGGAAAATACAACGAGAGAGATACTGGCCATACCAGTATAAGTGAACAATGCACACCTTTTATAGCGTTCCAGTATGAGCTATTGTCATTGTTTGTTTACTATGAAGTTGGGCATTGTCGTTCTTGTCGTGAGAACAACGACAAATGATGTGAGCGATGATAGCGGTTAGTTCATTGCGCTTTTTCCTGCACAGTGCCTGCGTTGGTTGCTGTGGCCCCACTGATAGTCACCGGTGTTAGAAAGCTTCATTTACTCGAATGATATACAATATTAACACGTAATTCTTCAATAACATTATCATATCATAACAATTGCTGAAAGTTCCAATGAAAGAAAAAAGACAAAGTCATGAAGAGAACGAGACAGGGAGAGAGCAATTGAGCGATGTAATTATAGCTCTCCTACGGAACGATACGTAACAATTCTGTGGCTGTTCAGGGGCACTTCCGGTGAATATGATCGAATCAAACGGCTTCCGAGGCATCATTCTTTTGCTTCACCGTCCTCCACGACATCTTTACATTGTGTGGCTAGAAACTCACGTACGCCGCTGGAAATTCCTCCATCCGACTCAGGATCCTTTAAAGAAGTTTATGAAAAAAAAAAGAGAAAAACAAAAAGGTGGATATGAGTTTGGAAGGTTTTCCGGCGCAGTTCGGCGACGGGGGGGCATTTTGCAGTTTCGCTTATCCACTAGTTCCGGTTTGCAAGTCTCGCTTTGGTGAACACATGCGAGCTCTCGAAGAGCTAGTGCAAGCTCTTCAGGCTACCGTGGAAGCCTGACAACTCCTGTAAGCTCATGAAGCAGCTCTCTAGATGGGTCGACACGTCGATGGGAAGCAGCAACAGTGCAAAATTCTCCCCCCCCCCCCCCCGTCGCCGAACTGCCCCGGATTTGCTTCCCCACATCGCAGTACACTATTTAAAGGCAAAACCCGCGATCATTCGCCATCACAGATAGAGGATTAGGAGTCTGCATGTGGATGATAAGTGCTGAGTAACCCGGTAGTGGAGAATATAGCAGAAAAAATATGACACCTGCCCTATATAGAACCCTATTTTTATCCCAGTTTGTACGTGCCCAATGAGCCATCTCCAACACTACGCCCTCATCCGCACAGCTGTTCCCCGATAAGAACTCTACGACCGTACAAGTGACGATTTTCATGCTTTTTCGTCCTGCAGCTTCGTTTTTCACTGAAAGGCAGGCCTTGAAGGCGGAGTCACTGGAAAAAAGGAGGCGTCACTGAACCTATATTGCGCTATAGCGCCCCTCCCTTACAATTTTTGCCGCGAAACCGGTACAAGGTTGTTCGTCGCGGACCACACTACCCTCCGACGCCATATTTTCAACTTCTATATTACCTGATCCTTTAATAGTGAATTATCGATAATTGTAACTTCATAACATCTATCCTCACAGGAGTCGAATAACTCCAGGAGATGATATCGCTTTTATGTTTGGCGAGGGGAAGGAAGGGTATGGGGCACCTGGAGCAGAAAGACCCAAAGTCAACCAGAAAACGTCTCTCTCGAAGGCAAATAAGAACCCCTTCAGTGGCCAGATAGCACCTTCTCCCCTAGCTGGGCAGCGTACGACGTGACCTTAGCGGTGGAGGGGTCCTGGCTGAATGACCATTTTTGCACATCGCGATGATGTGCCGACTGCCCAATCTATTGGTTCACGTTTTTCCCCGTGGTCCCTCGCGGACGAAGCATGAAGCCGTTATGTAAAATTCGTTCTAACCTTGTCGAATTTTCGAAATGGCGCCTGACGGCATACCAGGCACACAATAATTTGGCCCTCGGTAAAAAATGGTTGCAGGGGTGCTATATAGCTAGCTGCGAAAACGGTCAAAAACCTGGAGAAAAGCCTTTGTTCTACACGACTCAGAAAGCGGTTTCGGAGTTCCCCGTTGGCATCGTGCCAACAAGCGCTACGGTAGATATGTGAACTCATACGTATATACGCTCCAGTTCGCTGCGGAAGGCTGGGGTGTCAGCCAGTATGAGTGTGTCACCCCGTCAAAGCCGTTCTCTGCCTTCTTGTTGAGGCGCGCATGCCACAAAAGTGGTAGAAAACGAGTAATACGAAGGATATGATACAGTATTGTCACTTGCCCGCTTCAACAACTGGTGGAGAACGAGTTTGGCACCGCGCCAAACGCAGCCGCACTGACACGCCCAACCGTCCGCAGCGAACTACACTATACATGCAGCACCGTAGACCCACGCACATCTTCACACCAAATCCCTTCCCTTCATTTATTGGTACTTACACAAAGTCGAGCTGGTACGAGCATCAGATAGTCGCTACATTGTGGCGGGCGGGAGGCGAAGTGGGTGGTCGTTCCGGCCGTCGTTATGCTCGTGTGTAGCTTGATAGACGTTCGTAAGCTTACCTTCCTTAGAAAGAAGTCACGCCATGCAATGCTAGGGGGCGCCGAATTCCGTCCTATAACGCGTATCATTACTTACTCATTTAGGAATATGCCACTTGTCTTTAAATAGATTATGTCCACCGATTCTCTTACCTTGGCGAAAATTTCCAGATGATTTTTACCCTTCCATATCAAACCACAACGGAATGCTGGATCGTTCTTCGTTAAGAATTTGTAGATTTTATCCAAACAATCATGCACTGAAAGATGGACTTAACCAGTTATAGTGGAAGACGTTAAAAGGAAACAAACCCTTGCTGAGTGTGACGTATGGAAGAGGCTTCATCATTTTTGAAATATCTTGTTGCGAGTAAATTGACGGTTTGCCAAAATCACCAGTTCCTTTGAACCACCCGACAATTTCCTACAACGTAAAAAGCATTTCTTTGTGAGTTCCATTACGTGCTATTTACTTTGTTTTTTTGTTTAATTTAGTTTTATTGTTTTTCAGATTGCCGGCGGAAGCCAAGTGTATCGAGCCATAAAACAAACCAAGTGCAAATGTAGCAGTTATCAAACCACTCAAGAACAAGAAAAGAGGAGGAACAGAAAGACATAATAAAAATAGTAATGAAAGGCCAAGCCGTAAGTAATAAAGAGGATAGGAGCAGAACCCAGTACAAAGGGAAAATCTACTTGGTGCAACTAAAGGTGAATACAGACATAGTGCCATCTATAGCCTGCTTTTCTTCTGAAAATAGTTGGTTGGAGATCATGAAGTGGGTGCTCTTTACCGTTCCTCTAACCAAGCTTAGGCTGCGTTTATACTTTGCGGCAGCGTAGCGTAGCGCTTCCAGCGTACGCCAGCGGCAGTGCCGAAGAGAGGATGCATATCGATCTAGCTTCACCAGCGTCACCAGCGGCACGCTGGCGTAGCGAGGGCACGGGAAGCATAGCTATCGATCTAGCTTCACCAGCGTTTCTCCAGCGTTTTCCCAGCGCTTGCAGCGACGGGGCTAGAGAGGGCTAGAGGAAGCACTGGAACTTACTTATGTACTCTCCTCCGTTCAGCGTCTTCTTGTCCCTCTTTAGCCCGTCCCTGCAAGCGCTTGGGAAAAAACGCTGGAGAAACGCTGGTGAAGCTAGATCGATAGCTATGCTTCCCGTGCCCTCGCTACGCCAGCGTGCGCTAGCGTGCCGCTGGTGACGCTGGTGAAGCTAGATCGATATGCATCCTCTCTTCGGCACTGCCGCTGGCGTACGCTGGAAGCGCTACGCTACGCTGCGCTACGCTACGCTGCCGCAAAGTATAAACGCAGCCTTAGGCCGAGAGCGCATACGACCAGAGCCACCGAAAGATAGTATTGCAGGGCAGGTATTAAAAGACCACAATGAACTTTAAAGACAGCTCCCGCGATAGAAGTGTCATGGATAGTTACTGTTCAATTATGAAACAGTAGCTGATAAGTAATTCCCCGAAGAAGAAAAAAGCAAGAAGAGCCCTGAAGAACACCTTGATACCGAAATCACGTTCCCTGAATGGTTACCACCGCCCTTTTGCCGGTCTCTGTGCAACCCCTAGCTTCCAGAAGTGGATATTATCCAATGCAAAGAAAATAATACGAAAAACAAGAAAAACAACGACGAAAAACACTTAAAAAGGAAATTTCAGAATCCCAGGTCCGAATTTGGGGTTTACGGCTAGCGTGCATCTTTTAGTGCCATTGCCGAGATTTTTGCACCGCGGAAATTGCCCACGTCGTTGAATTTTTACGCGTTTTACCTTACGAGATGGGTTGCAGTTGGCTGCATGTGCTCCTAATAAATAAAATGTAATAAAGGAGAGCAGAATTATTATGGCACGTGCGTCAGCTAAAGGACATGCATCCCAATTGGATGAGCCCGCCGCGCCTAACAAAGAACAATGGAGCGGCCCTCCCGTCAGAAGGGCATCTAGCAATGGGGGCTCCAAAGCTGGGGGGGGGCGGGGAGAGGAGGGGGGTGTTTTAGACTAGAAACTTTCAGACGCTGTTAGCTCGCTCCTCGATCACTGTGGAGTCGCGAGAGTGAGATAGTCTCTAGCTTGGGGGCTGGACTAGCACAAGGAAGGACGACCATGTACTACTTGGATGCGCGGGGCTGCTCCTTAACCCAACTGTGGATCGTGAAGCGGACATTGCCTAGTATTCCTACCCTCTACTACGCTAGCGTAGCGTCAAAATGAAACTAACTCAGTTTCGCGAAAAATATTGCTACTCAGAAATCAAGGACATTCTTGTACTGAAGGGATCGTCTGAGAATAGAGAATTAGATGTCGAAGCTCACTTGATCAGCAGTAGTGAAGAAAAGCTGTGCCCATGTGAAGAATGGAAATCCGGCTCCTTGAGGGTACGTGGTCAGCATTTGAAGAGGAACGTCCCGAGGAACTTCTCCATACTCTATGATCTGCAATGCATCGCTGTGAGTCATTTACATAGAAATAAAGTGCCAAAGCTTGGAAAGGTTGGAAACGGGATAAGGGGGTGGAGGCGGGGGCATTCCAGAAACCGAAAAATACACAATGCACCAATTAGAAGGAGAAGCCTTCTCTCTAGGGCGCTACGTCCTTCTATTAATTTCTTTTTTACAAATTCACCTTCTGCTCAAAGATTTTCGAGGGTGGATCACAGGATTTTGAACGAGCTTTGAAGTATCACCATCAAAAAACGGTGTGGTCCTTGAACCTAATATCTAATAACTGATTTGACTCGAAAACGCCAGGATTCCCATCCGATCGGCGCGGAAATCTCGTCAGTGCAGATGCCAGAGTGCACAGTGCAAGCATTCAATAGCGTTGGCCTTATGGTTAGAGTTTTAGTGCAAAATAAATGTGGTATTCGTATACAGAGCGCGCGCCTTCTCGGATGAAACACCTTTGCGGATATTGCGATATGAGATACAAAAATCCACGCGATCATAATGAAATGGAATCAAAAATCATATCAAATACAAATTGACTCGAGGACTCATAAGGTCTCATTGGCCTGCAGTCAGCCTCTCTATGTTGAACTATATAGGGTGCATATATACAAGTATTTACGCAGCTTCGATGCTAAGCGAAAGCAGCCAGCGCAATTCTGAAATTATTTCCAGGAGATTTTGGTAATAATTCGGTCCACTAGTGTAAGTTTGACCTCATAGCATAAATATAGCGCCTCTCTGGGTCGAGAGCACAAGGCGCCGGCGCTGAAACATTGAAGAGCGCCGGAATTACTAAAAACTTCTCTCAAGGTGAACTTGTATTTGTCCACTTAACACGATACTAAACATTGTCCTGGTAGTGGTACTTGCGGCTGGTAGAATGCTTGGTATTCTGCGCTAGAAATGACGGAGGTAGACGTGTCCAGGGAGCCGAAGTACTTTAGGGAAGAGCGCCGACAGAAGCTACCGCTGAGGAAAATTTTCATTCAGGATGCAGCCTCCGTTGTACTGAGAGTGACATTGTGGACGATAAACAAATGGCCTTATCTAACAAACCTAAGGATTTTTCCTAATGACATGATCCTTTTCTTGTATCTTGCCAAATTCAAGTGTTACTCAGGTTGCGGAGCAGATGAAGCCCTCTGCATGAGGTCTCGCCATTCGCCTAGGCTCCTGAACGGATGTGTTCGTTCGGAAACCGTCAGCGGGCTCCAGTATTACGACAATCTTGCGTTCTAGGTACGAAGGTCGATCTGGCAGTGGGCCTCACCAACTGCCAAGGGGAAGACTATATTACGTGTTCACTTATAATCTTCACATAACCTTTTTTCTCTTCTCAGGAAGTAGTATGAATAGCGTGTGCTCCTTCTCTCTGTCTTAATGTTTAGTGGAAATATTAAGTTTCAGCGAGTTTATTACAGTCTAGCAATTTGTGGCGCACCTTATGGTGAATAAATAAATAAATAAATAAACAGTGTTAATTTTCAATGTCGATAAAATATTGCAGAAAACCGAAATCGGGATCGGAGGGGCACAGCGCCTAAGAGGGAAAGCAGTATTTTCGAGACATCGCGCGCGCTTGCGTGGTACACTTCGGAGCACCTGTAGTTACCCTTGTAGAGATAGATTGAATTGTCGAACCCGAAGAACGTGATGAAACATCGATGTACTTTTGCTTTTGAAATAAAAAACATATCACTCCGATCGCCCTATCATCGACATGGGCGCCCACATGTTCCCACGGACAGCGGACGTTGAAAAAATTAATTATGTGTACAGGAATCAATATGTACCTGAATGTTCTCGTTCAACTCTGCTTTCTTCTTTTCTGGCAGCGTTTCTGATTGATCAACGGTGACCCTTAAAAATAAGAATAAAATACTAGATATCAAAATTGGTCTATTTCGTTTTGATATATTGTGACAACTGAATTTTCTGGTCAACGTTGCTGAAGGCTTTGAAAAAGGCGACAAAGCCGAAACGTCAGTCGGGTGAAAGGGCTTACAAAAGGGCTGAGCCAAACAAGTTCGTAGACACACTTTGTTTTGTCTCCAACGGGAGAGAACTCGACAGGAGAGAACGTTCAGGAGAGCTTTAACAGAATTACGGCTCATTCAAGGGAAAAGTTGTCACATTTGGTTGGGGAGGGGCGGGCACTTCATTTGAACGACCTGCAGTATAGAACACTGCCCAGAAAAAACTATGACTCCACCCAATTCACATTACCTTCAATTAATCCTTATGGTGAGGCGGAGGTGGTGCTACATAGTGGCAGGTTCCAAGCTTACCACGCGCGGCAGTGCCGGATCGGCTTCCGCCCCGGGCCAACCAAGCCTCCTACCCTATAAGGGCAGTGAACTAGATCCAGATTTTCAACAGGGGAAACGGACCATATGCGGGTGCTTCCTTTTTCAATATTTTGTTTTTCTTTGTTTTAAATTGCCTGGAATGATAAGAACACGGACTTATACGTCGGCTAGTCCAGCAAGTCATCGTATAGGCGCCTCGCATTCAATATGCCACGATTCTGAATGGAAGTACAACGCGAGCTGCATTCCCGAAAAGGGATGAACTTAGTTCGCTGAAAGTTACTTGTAATAATGTGATGGGTTGCGGAGCTTTCAGTGCTATAGGGACCAGAATTCTATAGTCCCGCCGACAGGCGACTTTTTCATTAGCTGAGCTGGAACCGATGGGGAGGGGAGTTAAGATGATCAACAAGTTTTCTTCATTGTCATGACATTCCATTGTTCATCCTCTCTGGGCCTTTGGCAGCTGTTTAATTTGACTGGAAGAGACGCTGACATTAACATCGTGCGGCCATCGCGGAACATCGCCCGCCAAAAGTCGTTCTGCATTAAAGTTAAAGAAAAGGCCGAAAGAAAATAACACTACCGTGCCTATCATCCGATAAACAGGTTATTTATATACGTGGCGGAGGTGGTGTAGCTTCGAGGGGTAACACTTCCACACGCACGTTTTCTGCATTAAATCACGTACTGAATTCGGATAAACGGGAACTTTTCGTCCCTCCACGGTTCACTCGGAATCCCTGTGATGCGGTAGGCGTGGCTGCGTACTTCCACTGAACGCGGCGGTGATTTGCATGTGGTGAGATATTTCCATTTTGAAAGCAAATGAGATTATCTCCCTCCAACACAGGACAAGATGACTGTTGTCCTCGAATAACACTTGCTGTGCCATGTCCAAATCCGACTCCTGCTCCGTCCCAGGGGTAAGGTAGGTGACGTGGTATAAGACTCGCCGTGGGAGATTGAAAATCAAATTGACTTGTTTGATGTTGTAATTTCCCTTCAGGCTTGAGCACACACATGACTTAATTACAGTGCTTGAATTCAATGCACATTTCAGCATTCCCAGATGGGAGCATTCGGATTCAAACATGGAAGAAAAGGGTCGAGGTGACTGTCAGTGAAGAAAGAGCAAAAGTAGGGGTTTCAAACCAGCAAAAGCCTTTCAATTTTGTACTTGATTTTGAACATTGTACGAACGTGCATCGAGAAAACACTGAGTGCTTGTATGAGAGACCATGCACGTATTGAGGGGTCAGAGAGCACAGACACGCACTGGCTACACACCCTTTAACCGCCCTTGGCTCGCTTTAACGGCAAAGCCCACGATTAGAAGACATTCTGGGCTGTAGGGCTCTAAAAGGTATGCCAAGACGCCGAGGAAGTCAATAGTGGATGAAAAACAGGGGAAATCGTCGCCAATGCTCTAAATAAAGCCCTTTAGCGAGCGCATTCGTACGAGCGAAGGGCCAGCATAGAAGAAAAAAAATGAATTTCTCTATCTTGGATCAAGGTCCATATAGAAGCAGGAATAGTCTACGGGAACCCTCCAGCTTAAGGTGTCGTTCTGAAGCCGCCATGCTGCAACAGCTCCACATTCCTCCACGTTCGTGCACCAAATCAGGGATCCGATTATAAGACCGATTATATGGGATTGTGAACATAAATGAAATCCAAATGCTGGTCAGATCAACACAAAAGTATACTCTGTTCACTGCAGATGAAGGGGCGTGTCAGAAAGGTGTGCCGCGGTGCCGAACCCCTTCCAGCTTTGAGCCAGGTTTTGAGGCGGGTATGTGACAACAGGTAGAAAACGAGTGATGCGAACGATACGATACGATCTTGTCACTTGTTCGCTTCAACAAATAGTGCAGAACAGGCTTGACATCGCTTCAAACCTTGTCCTCCCCTGCCACGCCCCTTCGTCCGCTAAGAACAAGACTGTAATCAAGGCAGAGTGCCTTTCAGACTACTTGCCATATCTTTTGGTTAACAAGAAAGAAATACTCACGGTGGGCACTTTACTGCTGCGAAATCTGCACAGTCAACCTCGTACCTGAAACCAAGAAACGCTTCTTCTCAGAGACCTCGCTTTCCCACTTGAAACGCTTACCGGACCAAAATCCTGAATGTTCCGAACTGGTAACCGACCATCTGAAAGAATGGTCCAGTAGCGTGAGCTCCTCGTGGCCGAGTCATTTTTCGTTTCAAGTTCTGATCAAAAGTGCAGTGAGCAATTTCCATGAGATCGGAAGCCTCTTTCCTAAATTGGATCAACTCCTAGATTGACTGGTAGAATATTCCTGGGCATTCCAGAAGATCTAGACCTCACTCACCTGGTAAGAATGCAAGTCTTGCCTACCCGTTCGCAGTCGATTCGAAACAACCCCTCGCCAGCCTCCTAAACTAAGAAATTATTTAATGCTAGAAATTACGGCTACTCAAATATTCAAGAAGCTATAGGGGAGGGGGTGGGGGCATTTTCGTGACAGGAATTGCATAGCCACTGCATGACGAGCGGCTTGACTATAATCCAAACTTGGATCAAAGCGATTTGCTTGCAGAGCATCGGGGACAGAAACAAAAGTTGGCTCAGTCCCAATACTTTGGCGGCGTGGCAAGTCTCCTGGTCAGACAAAAGTTAGGGATTAAGGTAGGGAATTGCGAGCGTTTGGGTGAATGGTAGGTAAGATGGGGAAAGAGGGGAGCACCGAAAGAGGAGATTTCGGGAGGAGATTGGTTGCACTGATGCTAGACTCTAGCACTACTTCCCAGTGCATTCAGCTTTCCCTTATCCCGTTGTAGGTGAGAGGCTGACCTTTAAGGGTTGGGAGGCTTGGAGACAAGGCCTTCGAAGACGGAGCGAATTATCGTTCTTCGACAAGGGGAGAGAGAGCGGATCTTATTTTGATCGCTGCGAGCCGCCTTTGGCAAGTTGAAAATTGTTCGATTTCCGGTTTGAAGTTTTGGGAGATTTTGCAGATGGGATCACGTTCGCGACATTCGTATCAGTACCCAGCAGGCCTGACAGTGTTGCACAAAAGTCCCCCTAGTCACCGATGTTGCAGTACCACTGCAATGAATAGCCCATGGGATGTGTAAACGGATGGTGAGGAAGGGTCATATTCCGAGACTCACTCACCCTTCCCCCCCCTCATCGAGATTTGTGCCCCGATTGGTGATTCTCTCTTAAAAACACTTCGGGTAGGACAACCACTTCAAATAAGCGATAGATTTTATTGCGCCCGAAGACGATGTTTTCCACAAAATTGAAAACATTCTGCAGTTGACGTAAGAGCCCTCGCACAGAGTAAAGAACAAGAGAGCTCAAAAATAACGAATCGTCCCCCCAGATCTCTGAGCTACACAACTGCCATTATTTAGTTTAGGTAAGGAGACCTCATCCACAGAAAAAGCCTGACATGTAAAGTGACTATTCCCCCTCCCTTGTCCTTCCTTACGAGATATCGCCTTAAGCTTGCTCATTTATTAGCCTTTACCAGCTTTCATTTTCTCAAAACAATGAACTGCTTACATTCATTCAATCATTCCCCATCAAGAAGGAGTAATTAAGCCTTTCAATTTGGGAGCATGCGTAGCCAATAACACCGCAGCCCTGCATCGAAAAACCAGGTAATCGGAACTCGTAGTCACGAGAAAAAAAATGATGAAATGCCTTCAGTACGTATGAAGCTCCTTAAAATTTGATTCCGTTCGATGACAGAACAATTGCTAATACTGGAGCAGGGTGGAGGTATGTAGGTATCAGCAAGTGGTTTCTGTTTATTGCGCGTAAGATCTGGGTGTCCAGCGCGGGATCGGATCCCTCCCAGAACAGCGAGCAATTTGCCGTTCGGCATAAAAGGAAACCAGTAATAAGCTCCACTCATGTGGAACCCTTGCCAAAGAACATTTATCTTTCTTTCTTAGAATCACCCCCAGGAATGCCATGAGATAACCCACAAAACTGCTCGAGGGCCACCTCACAAAAGCATCAGCTTGGCGCCGATTTCCTCTTTTCTCCGGAATATTCGCTTGTTTGGGCTTCATCTGGACAGGAACAGTAGGCGTACCTGACAGAAGGCGAAGAGTTTCTGTAGATTCACGGCATCGGTGATGAAGTCGTACTTGCCAAAATCGATCGGTTTTCGCTTTTTGTCTGCGAGAAGTTTTGCGGCAATTATGGCGGTGTCAAGTGCTCCATTATGTACCTTAAATGTTTCTATAGTTCATAAGAAACCATTTGTCTGCGCGATCTGATAGCTGTTAATAAATCGAGAATAAAATAGTAGTTGGTCAAAAGAATCACCGCAAAAACCCAGCAGCTGTTTGGGTTTCCATAGGAAATCCTTAATTTTTTACAGTTGACATAGTCCGGCGCGGGCAATGTAAAGAGGCGCGTAATGAGCTCACCCACAACGGCGTTTTTTTCCAACCAATAGCCGCATTTAGACCGAAAACAACCAATCTTAGTCGCCGCCGCGAGCGGACTTATTTACAACACCTGACACACATCATCGAGTTGCAACGATAACAAAACTTCACCAATGAGCTTAGAGCGGTGGATTTTCGTAAAGTGATGATAGGAGTGAAACGAAAGAAATTTTTACGCACCTCAGCGCGGCTCCTAGGCAGGGGTCAGTCATCGCGTCGACGCGCGATGACGCGCTTTAATTAAGATCGCTTCAGCGCTATAGACGCGAATGCAGACGCAGAGAGGGATCGATCTGCGTCGGCCGCTTGTGTCTTGAGAGTTTATGAACAAGTAGGAGGAGTGTCTTGGCTAACCACACAGTCTGGTATCGATCGGCGCTGGTGCTAGTACTTTGGGAGAGTATAGGGAAATAGGAGGGTACCAGGTTGTGTGAAGGCAGCGCCTACCCTCCTATTACCTATTCTCTCTCGGAACACATACGGCCGCGCCCATCTCTTCTCATATACGGCTGCTTTGCATCTATTGCGTTGGAGCTCTTGCGAATAGCGCGTCGACGCGCGTCATCGTGAACTGCCTCATTAGTAGGGAAGGTCAAAACTCTGCCTCAAGTTCACTCAGCTTGAATCGGATCTCCAAACAGGTGAAGCTTTCTACTCTTGGGACTAAATGGTACATGAGGCGTTCGTGAAGAGGAAAGCAGCATAAAATAATCTCAAAGAGGGCATGGATATCTTGTATAACACTGGGATTAGCGTCGTCCGAATGAAATTAGATTACTTGGTTCACCCATTTCGTGGTTCTTCTCTCCTTCAGACTTGGGAACAAGTTCATAGCTCCATTACGGCAGTTCTACTTCTGCACAAAAAGTTCTTGAAATGCCTCTACCCCCCCCCCTCTCCCTCCTAAAGGTCATAAGACGCCAGAGAAAACGTTGGGTTGCCCATCGGCAGAAACCGCTAAGTCTGGACTAAGCTTTCGATAGTCAAGTGGGCAGGGGACTGCTCACCGCTGAGGAAAATACTGGAAAATACGACCAATGCCGTAAATTCCTTCTCTGATAGCCTCCCTCTTGCCTATCCCACCCAACACATCGCTAGATGTGCTCCCAAATTCCTAACACTTTATCGAGTTTTCCGGGAGTTTCCCGGATATTTTCTGTGCTTTCCCGAGATATTGGCGAGTTGGAGGCGGGAGTCGTCAGCAAATAATTACTAAATAATTTTAGCCATCAGTAACAACAGTTGTATGAATTTTGGCGGCATAATCAACTAAAGGAGTTCCTCGCTGTAAGTGTCCGTAAAATTCGAATAATCAATGTTTTTCTTATACCAAATAAGAGCAAGGGATTCTCCAACGCACAACGTCGTCTGCATTTGCACGACGTGGTCTGCAAGTGGGAGGGAATGCAACGCGTCTCTCGAGAACAAGAGTTCAGCTGATTACAATCGTGGTGAAGAACTGGCCGAGAAATCTTCGTTGGAGGTCATCAAACTGCTGACAGGGGCTCGCGTGAGGTGCGGCAACACTGATTATAGAGTGTGAGGTAGTGGAGATTGTAAACCTTCACTGTTCTCTTTACCGCTTCACGGGTTCTGGGAGGCCACTTCCAGAATCCTAGAGATGTGCTAGAAGGGGACACAAAGACGTAGGAAGTATGATCGCAATGGCTGATCTTAAACTACAAATGATTTGTGACAAGATGGATTGGGTGAGCTGCGCGCGCTGTCGTCGCCGTGCTCATCGAATCGAAAAGCATTTTCCGAGACGACGGTGGTTTATACAATGAAGCAGTAGCGAGTAAATTATCAGCAATAATCAGGCAAAAGTTTCCGCCAATTTCTGAAACTGGGACCGCTATAACAAACCAGTGTATATTTCAACATTTTAGAAATAGGTTTAGTAGTTTTCATTCATTCAGGGAACAAAATTTAGTCTTCCAATTAGTCAGCTACGTGACAGCACAATCTTGCAAGCGGTGGTCGATGTGTGCTGAGGATTTGTTTCTCTCTTTGATTTGTTTTTTAGAGTGGGCGCGATAAACAGGCTGTTCGATGCGTGGGGTCTGACCAAGGTGGTGAAATGCCATAGATTATTTTTGTGGGATGTACGTTGATACAATTTGGTCAACGAATGTGAAAATAGCGCAGTCGCAGGGGTTGAAGGCCAGCGCACATGGTATATTTTAACAGAATGCACCCCTGCCCAGGATCTTGTGAGATAGAACATAATCAATGATGACTGAGTCTCATGCTTTCAGGTATGAGTAATTCGGCTTCTTGACTGGATTGGTGCGTAGACGCGCTGAGGGAACATCGAGCACAGTGCAGTACGCTAGCCTGAAGATGGGATACAACAAAGGAAAAACAAAAAAGAAAACCGTGAATAGACAAAAAAAGACTCTATTCTGGAAGGACAGGGGAAGGTGCGAATTGGATATTGAGAGAAGCTGCACTAAAGGAGTATATGTGAATCGATCGGCTCCCCAGTTAGGAAGTTGAGAGCAGAAGAGTATAAGAGCCGGTCAATGTCCAATTTGTCTCCATTTGAGGCGGCGCCTCTCCTGCTTCGTGCCTTCTGTGATCTCCAAAAGCAATATCGGATCAGAAGCCTCTGCAGGGAAGAACATTACACACACGCGCTGCACGACTATTTGTCGCACGAATCAAGGGTAGACGAAATGAGGTCTCTCGAGTTATTGCTAGCGTGTTGAATCGGCTTTGAGCGCACCGTTTCGCGCGTAAACAGATACACACATTCGCGTACTGGGGAGCCAGTATCTCTCCTTCTTGCCGTCATGGTGCACCACCAGGTAAACTGTTCCTTGAGTTGGCCTCCGATGCGGGACGATAGTGTATCCTGGTAATGCGCCCTGTTCACTCAGGTAATTCCGTGAGCCCTGGTAGTACGTCCCAGAGCAGCGTGTGCTCAGCGCAAGTGGTCGCCCAACTGCCATCTCACGTCAAAATAACCCGTGAACAATTTACTGAAAGAGGTTACAACAAAGAAACGATTTCCGTAGGCAAAAGACCGTCAACAGGTGAAGACAGCAATCAGAGAAAAGATATGAGACTGATAATCGAGGGCTCATCGAAATAAGGGTATGCTGCCTTATACAGTAAAAATGTCTTTGTCAGGCCTGTCAATGAGTTTTCAGACACTTGTTTCATGCTGGGAAGTTGCTACCACAACTTTTGTGAACGAGTGTCGCGGAAACGTCAGAAGCTTACCCTTGAAGAGATTTTAGCTAATATTTGAGAAGCTGATCAGCGCTTACAGGCTGAGCACAGATGAATAATATCGTTTTTCAACTTTTAAATAAAGCAAGCAAGAAGCTCCAGATTGCCGAAGAAATCAAGGAGAAAACATGGTTGTGATACTTACCCTGAGATGATTGACATCATAGATGATAACGCCATGGTCCTGCTGCAGCTTGCCACCAGGCCAGAAAAACGACTCGACTGGCATTCCAGGAACCTTAAACACAGTTTATTGGTAAAGGAACCAAGAATCAAGCAAATCTTCATCTTTCAAAGATCATGGAAAGCAAGAAAGCTTGGGGAAGAGGTGCAGTTCAAAGTGAGGTCGTATAATATATGGATTGTGTTGTGCCTGAACCACAGGATGTGTCATCCCTTGAAGGCAATTGGCACGATAAATCTCCCAAGACGACTAGGATCGTTACTCCTGGCAGAGTAGAATTCCGCGCGACCCTGGGCAGGCGCTGCATAGCGGTTTCCCCGAGGAAGGTGCCCTTATAAGGGCCCTATCAAGCCACAACTTTACGTCCCAAACGCCCGCCACGCCCGCCCGCCCACAAATGGACGACCGTTCCTGACGCTCGTATTCATTCATTTGCTAAGCAAATTATGAAGCGAAGGGATTGGTATGAAGCGGCCGTGATGCTGCATGCATATATGGGTACACATATGCAGCCGTATCTTCGGTAGCGGTGATTGGCAAGATGCCTACGGGAAACTCGTCCGAAATCGATTTTCAAGTCACTGAGAACGGAGGCTTTTTCTTCGCAGGATTTTGACCGTTTCACTCCGTTCTTTCGCCATTTCCCCACTATACAGCGCCCTACTAGCATTTTAGGCTAAGTAGGAAACCATCGTGCCAACTGCCTTCAAAGGCCATTAGTTCACCAGTACACGTTATTTGAGGGGACGGATTCTCCTGAAACAATCGTTTGGTAGTAAATGGAAGATAAATGGTCGGCTTCTCTCAAAGTACTAACCGAGGCTAACGATTTTACACCTTGGCATTGTTATTTTGATGGGAAACGGGCATCGCTCTTCCGAGGGGCTGAGCTCCATTTTTTCAAAGTTTAGACGTTTTTTGTGCGAGCACTGCTGTCGGTTCGATATCTCACCTCGCGTAGCTAATCATTCTTCCTCACACTGTCTCACATAAGTTTTGTCGAGGAATAAAGAGATAAAAATAAAGTGCACCTGGTACATGCACATTACTAATTAAGCTTTCCGAGACTGGCGCACGCCTTTATATGGCTCGCCTTCAGCTCCAGCTATTCGACTCATTTAGAGAACTTACAGCAGACGACGGTGTTCAGCTTTGGGGGCTAAGGAGGGAAGGAAGGCGGATGGGAAGCTGTTTTGTACTGTAACTAGTTTCTTTTGCCAGTTCCTATTGGATTGCACGTACATCTTGGTGAAATTTGGAGACCTCTGACAAGAGTAACAGGCATCTGCGGGTATCTACAGGACTCATGGGCAGTGATCAGTGGAAACCAGCGAAATGCCCCTCCAAAAGGGATTGCGCTTATGGAGCTCTCGTAAAGTCACGTCTGCATAGTACTACTGCTACGATTTTCAGCAGTGCACACCTGTCATAGGTAGCGTTATATTAGGTCATCCCATTCAAAAGTGCCGTCGGTTTTTTCGAATAAAACAAAGAGGAGAATAGATAAAAAAGTAATATTTTGGCTTCAAGTTAAGTAAATCCCTCCTTCACCAATGACCCGCTCCCAGTGCCCCGAAAGCCTTTGGACCTCTGGTACCTTCGATTTTTCAACAAGTGCGAGTAAATTGCTGTTGATGCCAATTTCGGCGAATGACAAAACATTGCCGTCGAGAGTACTCTCGACTGACGAGAACAACTGGAATCGCTCGGCTTTAGGGCGGGCGATTGAACCCAGGTCTCAGTATTGTTTGTGTCCCAGCACTGCCCTACAATACAGTTACTCGGGGTCTGGCACTATGACGAGCAACGGTGGCCTTCTTGTAGTTGTGTGGTATCATCCATTTGTCGATCTGATTGCCGAGGAACAGGCAATATACACCGACAGCTACGATTTTATTCTCTGTATAGAGCCGCCTAAAAGCCTCAGTGTAGGAATCCTTTGCTATGATGATCATCCACTTGCGCCCACGTAACCCTTCATGGTAGAACTCGGGCGGCTTCTCATCTGCATTCATACAAAATTGACGATTGTGAGTTTTGGCTCGAGGTCCAAGACCACCCATATTTCATCTAGGGCCGGGGTGCGTTTTCACAGTCGTGAATGACATCTCATGCTGAGAACATTACTGCTAGAGGTATAGAATCGGTACTGCGTTCGTGCTTCTACAAGAAAATTAGGTACCCATGCGCACCCTCTTGACCATCCTCAGTTTATCGGACATAACTCGGGCAGCAGTTGCAGCTGGGATGTCAGACTCGCGGGAAGCTCGACAAAGGTCCAGGCTCTGTGATCAGACATTCAGCGCTTGACTTCATCCACCCTTTTTTTGTGCAGGATGAACATTATGGGACCATCCACGACAACAAATTTTTTCCTTTCCCTTCTTCGGGCTCCTGAACCAAACCTTCCACCTTGCATTTCGAGAACACCCCCAAATTTCACAGATACACAGCTGAAGGTACTAGCCTCCAAATGGTATAGTAGCCCGCTTCCCTATCCCCTTTGCTTTTCTGCCATTCCTCTATATGTCACGGCACTTTTGAATGGGATGACCTAATAAGTAAGCGTGAGCTTTTCAGAGCATGGAAAATAGGCTCACAGAAACTTGCACGGGAGCGCTAATGTGTGGTGTTAATTCCCAGTCGGCTGAATAGGCGGAGCGAGCGCGTAACGTATGCATCCCCACAAGGACCCAATTCGCTTAACCTGCCAGCGTCGACTGCCTTGACTCTATCTGCCAAGTCAACTTGTACTGCGGTATCACGACTATGAAGCACTCCTTTGTAAACATATGCAGAAAAAGGAATCCTCGCAACCCTTCTCTCACTTGCTAGGAAAGTGCCTGTATGTGACTATGCTTTCCATGCTCTCTACAACCCTCCGTACCGAGCTCGTTTGGGCACTATTTTTGAGCAAGAACTGCCAATGGATATCTTGTGAGAGGAGAACAAGCAGTTAGTTAGGAAGATCATGTCTGGTTTGGTTCGAAAAAAATGGGCGAAGTGAACTGATACCTCAGAGATGATGGGATGTGAGTTTTGAACCCTTGTAGCAACTGCTTAATGAGATTTCGTCGCGCCAAGCAGCTGGCGGCGGATATGCAATGCTCCGACATGGTCATAAGCTCAAGAGCTCTGCAGTCGAAAGAAAGTTTATAGACTAATTCGATGGTATCATATGAACCAACAAGAGAAACGTCCGAGGACATTCAGCTAAGGGGATTTTTCTTGCAAGGAGCGTTCTTCAGATGGCTGGGTAAAAGCGCCACGGAGATGAAAAAGGGGTGGACTTGGCTGACCAAGGAATAAGAAAGCGCACACTTTACGTTGGAACCTGCTCTAGAAGAAGTCCTTCATCTGAAGAAGGATGCTGTTCCAGTTTGTTATAATGTTCAGGGGAATTTCTCTTAAGAGCAGAGCACCTCCTAAGGTTAGGGAGAATTTGTATAAATACGACTCTTTCCCCATCAAATTTTTTCTCTCATGTGATCCCTTTCCCGCAAGCGACCAATCATCATAGCAAACGTTCGCAAAAACTTTGCCGTCGAACACGAGAGGGACAAACACCTCCGATCAACTGTTAGAAATGGGAGCATTGCAGCCAATTAAGGGTACATAGTACGCGGGAAACGGGGAAATCAGCAAATCAGAAAAGTTTTCCCACACCTTGTACTGCCCCTTTTCCCTCCCCTCCCATCTCCCCTTTCAAAGGACCGAATATGACTTTCGTTCGGATCCTCCAACTTATAACCCATGACCGCTAACATGGAAGGAACGCACAGTCTTGCCACTTCTTCAGTATACTTCAGAACTCAATTCTGTCGACCACATGTTTAGTTTGTCAGCCCATTTCCCGAGGATAATGAGTGCGACAATCGCCAACACTTTAAAACGGAAAAGCTTCCGTGCTTAAACTCGGAGCCTGCCGAATTCTATAAAGCTGGAAGCTCTTGTCTATCGATGGCGGACATTGTGAATAAATTTTGAATCTATTTGGTATAATCTATCTATTTGGAAGGAACACCGTTAAATTCAATTGAACACTAGTTTTGTTTTCAGTTTTTGAGTGAAATTTAGGGCTATTTAGGTCACGCCTAATATAAACTCTTCACAAAATTTACAGGGGTGGCCATAGAAGAGGACATTCAAGATTCTGTTCTACCACTCCTTTAAAGTTGGAGGAGAAGAAGAAAGGGTAAGTGGGAAAGACTTCGAGAAAAACTGGTAGCAGAGCAGATCCCTTCGAAAAACGTTCTGCCCCCGTCTCTGCAAAATTTAGAAACTTTCAAGTAACAAAAACATTGGAAAATCTTACGAGAATTGTACTGGTCTCTTCGGTGAGAAGCCATTGGTAGCTGCCAAGTCGATCGACGTATTTAGTACTGGTTGGTCCACCTTTTCCAGCAAGATTTGCAAGTGGCAAAAGACCATACGGTTCTTCTTCCAACCCTTCAAATAACCAAAAACCGTCGGCCATCTGAAACTAACAGTTTTCTGATCATCACTCTACCCGTCTCTGGTAATAAGTTCAACGAGTCAATGTTTTTGCGGCTAAATGGATTTTACAGCGGATGAAGAGACGATAGGAAAATATTAATTAGCGTATTTAAAGTGATGATTTATAAAAAATAACTATTGAATGCTTAATGATATCTGATATAACTATAGATTTGACTGAGCATAAAGGCGGATGAGAGTCGATACTGCGGAGGAGGGGCTTTTGTTACACCGGCATCTGGTGAAAGTGAGGAATACACAAGCTGGCGATTTCGGAGTGGTCTGAAATGGGCCGAGAGGTGGGGAGAAACTTCTGGGCGGATATGATGTCATAAGCTTATAGTAAAAAGTAACCATACCCACACCCATCATAGACTCTTTACAATATCCCAATTGTTTATGCCCTTCCCATCTCTTGGAACGAGAAGTAATGAGCGCGGGTTGGATGAGTCATAGCGGAAGGGACATGAGAACTCTAGTTCGAGATGATGTTGTGCTGCGTGGAATCTGCATCGAACCGTTGGTCCAAACAGAGCGCCGCTGCGTTGAAGCTGCGGCCACTTTACAGTGGGGGTTCGGGCGGCTGTCGCAGGTGGGAGGCAACAAAAACATAACTCAACATGCGTCATGGAACTTCAACTCAAAACGTCATTGTGAAACCCGAATTCTGTTGTCTTCAGTTCCCAAACAGTGACTAATACCGTTCTGATTGAACCTCATGTCCAATAACTGTTAAGGTCACTGATCATTCCGCTGGTTATTCCGTTGCCAGAGACTTACAAGTTCGAGCAATTTTTCGAGTTACTATTTTGGAGACAAACCCCGCGCTTGACCGAATCGTAGGAAGTCTCACTTGTTCAGCCCGGAATCTCTGTGATTGCAAACTTTCGCGGATTCACAGCGACTGAGCAGGGCTGTGCAATCATCAAAAGTTGAAGGGTGTACGACACCTTCAAGATACCTCGCTAAACGAGGATAAGTAAGCTGGTTGTTTTGTCTGTAAGTACAGTGGCCATTCATTCTCTGGGGATCTACTCTTCACTGGATTATTTCAATGACATGCTCTTGACACGGAAAAGGCGCCGAGTGTTCACTGGTATCACTTCTTCGAGTAGTAACAGAGTGGAAAAGAGTTCAGCTCGACGAAATGTTCCGAAACTAGTAGAATACTTTCACGGCACGAAGAGAAGGCCGCTATTCTTTTTCCTTTTGAAATTTCCTTTTGAGTGTGCCAGGGCTTATGGCTTAATTGTAGGTCTAAGGTCTTCCAGAACTCAACTCCTTTGCCCGCACCAAACTCTGTTTATCTCGGCACTTTGCTCTCTACATGTCTTTCTGTGCACCTTGAAATCTCACAGATTCCAATTTTTTTACGCCAGGCACGTGGCTCACACAGCCCGCAGTCGCCTAATTTCAAAGAAATTCGTCCTCGCCTCCCCACATACTTTTTGAACTTTTCGATGATTTGACAGCCGCCGACTTCTATCTGCCTGCGCAACAGTGCTGTGCACAGGACCATGCAGAAAAGTTAGAGTGGTCATGTAACCTTAAAGGCAAAGCTCGCGATCATTCGCCATCACAGATAGTGGATTAGGGGTTTATATTTGGACAACAAGGTTCTGAGTAACTGGATAAGAAAGAAAAAAAAAACAGAAAAAAACGTTCCAACTGCCCTAGATAGAACCCCATTTTGATCCCAGTTTGTACGTGCCCATTAACTCCATTTTTCCGTCCTGCAGCTCGTTTTTCACTAAAAGGCAGGTCTTGGAGGCGGAGTTACTGAGAAAAGGAGGCCTTACCGAACCTAAATCGCGCTATAGCGCCCCTGCCATGCAATTTTTTGCCGCGAAACGGGTGCACGGTTGTTCGTCGCAGACCACACTATCCTCCTGATGCCATATTCTCCAATACCTAATCCACCTAATCGCGGACGGTGCCCTTAACTGTGGCAGAGTACTCTTCAACCTAACTTCACGCGCATGAAGTCTATCTTCACTCTTTCTGTAGCTGTAGTGCTGTCCTGACAGTCTCTCGGGCTATGACTCTTCACGTCGTTCCACCGCGTACTTGTCGATTGTTCAGATCCATCGGACCTTATTCAGGGACTTTTTGGCGAATTGTACTGTTTCCTTCCTCACTAGTAGATCAATCTACACCAGAAGAAATTTGGGTTGAACCTTATCAGACACGACTTCCAATCGGGGGATGGTTCTTTAAAAAGTCATTGCACTTCTTCAGATGCGAAAGTTTTAGGGCGAAATGTGTTGTGCGTAAAGAATGCTTTTATCGGTCCTCAATTTAAACTTATTTTTGAACCAATCACCAAATTATAATAATGTCCACGCCGTCTCTTGTTGTAATGTCCCTCGGAATGCTGTCGAATGTTTAATTACTTCTGCTAAAGCTTTCAGCTTCGTTGTGAACCTTCGATTATTGGCTCATCAAGCTATACGTGTGGGTACTGATAAGTTATGGCAAAAAAGTAAGTATCGGGGGTCTTGGATGTTAGTGGCTATGACATTTGACCGAAAGGCGTCACACGCGAACTCTTGCTAAAAAAATTCACTCATAACTCAGCGATATTTTCCTAACCAGATAACTACGGTTAAATCCATTCGAATAGCAGGGGGTTTCTGTTGGTTCCACCCCCGTGAACATACCAACGAACTTCAGGAGGGACCCATGTAAATGCGTCGCTCTTCCACGCATTGATATGAACATGATGACTGGGTGTGTCTGAAGTCAGGGAGATGTTAAGGATGCCCCACGTGGGGAAGGAAGATGGGGCTTGTATGTGACACATGAGTTTTTTCGACACATCTGGTAGTAGACAGGAAGGTGTCACCACTTCCTGCCGTTCAACGGACAAATTTGGGAAAATTTGCTATGATAATCGCTCGATTGCGGAGGGAGGAGGTCGTACTGGAGGAGCGATTTCGAAAGAGGAGTCGAACCAAACAAAATTTCTCTCAGGTCCAAGATATGCCCGTCTAACCCTAGTTCCTTTGGTTACCTACCTAATCTGCTCTAGTCTGCACCGCGAGGGTTTAGATTGATGGCAGAATGGTCCAGTCGAGGTATTTTCTAGGCCTTCAACTTTCCGGAAAGTCCGTAGAGCTTGGATGTTGTCGTATTGGGCAGTGTACCATTGGAAAGAGGCTCACATTAAAGTTCTTCGAAGCGATGCCATTGTTATCTATTGATTCTCAGCGCCAGCATTCAGCCTCGTTAGTGGGGCGTAATCCATGTGCACTTTGACCGGACAGAGAGGATCAGCTTACAACTTTGTTACAGAGCATAGCTGCTTTTAAAAATCACGGGCAAAGAATGGATTTGATCTCCTATCACTACTCTGTAGATTTTATTTGTTTATTTTATACGCCGTATGTATGAGGCAAACCTTTAATAATATGATAACCTCGGAAAAACTAAAATAAGTACGAGCAGTATATCAAATTCTTTCTTGTTACTTCTATTAGGCCATGACCTTGCTTTAGGTGGAGGGAGAGCTGTATGACAAGTCGTGCCACTTACCACGCCCCCTACCCCAGGTGGTCTAATCTCTGATATGCTCCTGCCTTGACTCATCAAGCCTTCCGCCTCTCTGGAGTAAAAACACTTACCATAAGATGCACAGCGTCTGTCCTTTTCGCGAAGAATCATGCGAGGTAACAAATTTGGGAGGCGCGACCTGGCCATATAGACAGTAGATACACAGAGGAAGTGAAGATCAGCTTAGATTCTGAGGTATCCGGCAGGAGGGATCCCAATTTCTATTTTTTTTCGTAACACGGAACGCGGGCATCCGAGTATGATGGGCTTCGGTAGGGAAGACTTTTGGCCATTGCTGAAGTTGCTCATTTGTACTTTTACAAACCATTAAAAGTATAACGTTAAAAAATATAATACCTTAATAATGCAGTTGGCACTGTGATAAATCATACTCGGCCTAAAATGCTAGTAGGGCGCTGTAGGTGGGGAAATGGCGAAAGAACGGAGTGAAACGGTCAAAATCCTGCGAAGAAAAAGCCTCCGTTCTCAGTGACTTGAAAATCGCGAGTGTTCGGACGTGAGTGGTTCCCGTGCAAGTCTGTGCCAAGTCCCGCTAGTCGACCAGGTACAGCTTGGGCATATGAGGTGACCAGATGATACTGCGATGCAGGGCTCGACGGCCCGCTTGTCATACGCACGCCATTCGCAGATTCATAATTTGGCTTTATAGCAAGATTGGAATGAGATTATTGTCGAAGAGACGTTCAGGAACGGTCGGGTTCCTTTGTGGGCGTGCATGGCGAGCGTCTTAGCAGACGTGAAAGGTTGTGGCTTGATAGGCGCCCTTATAAGCGGGCGCGCGTTTTCGGGGAAGCGCCTAGTGCAGGCGACGCCTCGAGGGATGCGGCGCCGTCTGGCCGAGACTCGTATTGACGGGCGTGCTAGTCGGAATTGCGGGGATCTATGATCATGGGCCGACTGGTCCGTTTTATGAGTCGTTGCGATTGTGTTGGCCGGGCAGGGCAGGGTGTCAGGAGGCTGACCTGTCCCTTTCGTCAACGGTGGCGTTGCGGCGCGACCAGTGTACTGATCAAGTGGTGGCGATCGCGAGAGAAGGAAAGCAGTGGTGAAGAGCGACCTGCGAAGGCTCATTTTTTTACTAGTGTATCAACCGGCTGCTCCGACCACTGAATTACGAAGACAACGCGTAATTTCGGATAGTACAGGGGAGGGCCATACAATACGAGTCACATATCAGCAAAGTTTTCGCAGCCCAGACAGAGGAAGATACCCAAGATGTTCCTCGATAAGCAGGAGCTGGCTCTCGCCCATCACCTTCATGTACACCAAAATATGAAGTCATCTCCAGTCGCAGCCTGACTGGAGAAGACCTTTGGAATTCATGTCACCCAAACAGCTGCGAAACTTCTAGTATGGAGTCACCCATGGATAGCTACCTGGAGACCAGTACTCTCGATCTGGAAGACC